GCAAGGCCCTCTGAAAACACATTCCTACACTGGGAAGCAGCAGCCCTGAGCCCTATCCTGGCGTCAGGTAACTAAGCCCTGGCTTTGCAAAGCTTGAGCTGCTCTATTCTTTCAAAACAATGTTATCAGTGGGCAGCATCCCTCCTGCCTATCTGGCAGCTCAGCTGCTTGCCTTACCCCAGAATGTGGAAGAACTAGGCTGCAGGGTCAGGCTCTGTGCCTGGGGATGTACTCCAATACTCAGCCCCAGGCCTCCATCCCTACCATGGCGAGCAGCCACCTGGGGCCTGCCTCCATCTTCCTGCCCAGGACATTAACCCACCATGGGGAGCAACCTCTGCCTTGTAACGCAGAGCAACTCACAGAGTAAGGGTTCTTCTCAAGGTGGTCCCTATATTCTCCTCATGATTCCCACACCAGCTCAGCACCCCAAAATGGTGGCCTGCCAGCATAATGCACACCCAGGCAATAGGCATCATAGCTGGCGAAGAAGCTCCAGCCAAAGGGGACTCATCCTACCAGTACTCCCCTAGATTTGGAATTGCATCATTTCACAACCAGGTGCTCATCTCCTCACGTGCTCCTGGGTTCAACCCATCTGGTGTCAGTTCTGTTTCTCCAGCATGGAAATCTGATGAGCAGGCCCAGTCCAAGAGAACAACTAAAATACCTACTGCTCTTCACCCAAACACCCCACCAAAGGTGAAAATGCCTGGAAAGAAACTAGCACAATTTGTCACCTCCTCACAAATCATCTCTGCCCCTACCTCAATTGGAATCTTGAGGTAAGGACACAAACTTCAGGTCTCTGCCAAGAACAAGACATACCTCACGTGGGTTCAGCTGAGAGACCATAGAACCGTTAAGGTTGGAAAAGACCACTAAGATCACCTAGTCCAACCATCAACCATCCCCACCATGCCCACTTATCCATGCCACCTCTACCCTCTTCTTGAGCACCTCCAGGGACAGTGACCCCACTTCCTACTTGGACAGACTGTTCCAATGCATTACCACTCTTTCAGAGAAAAAATTTTTCCTAATATCCAACCTGAACGTACCACCCAAGAGCAGCCCAGTCTGAATTCTCATAAGCCATCCTTCTTTCAGGAAAGTCCAATATGGTCATTCAGGATTAATCTATTCCTCATGTACCTGGGGACAACGGAAACAGAAATGCTCTGCTCACCACCAGCCTGGACTAGATGAACAGAGGCACACCACTTCCCCATTCAGTGCACCCAGGGCCCTCTCTGACATGCCCATTAAGCAGGCTGACTCCCTGAACCCAATTTGCAAGGAGAAAGCCCAAAATGGGGATTCACTGAAGGCAGCAGAACTGCTCCCTCCAGGCCTGCTCACACCACCACAGAGTAATCGATGCCAAAGATCACAGCCGCCAGACTGGCGTGTTTAATGCAACCTGACATCTCCTGCAGCAATCCCTTCAGCTTCACATTCTGCCTTATGCAAGGCAGATATCCTCAGCCCTCCACCAGGTCTGGCAGCCACAGCTCTCCAGGTCACCTGTCCACACTCTCTGCTCCTCCTGCTTGGGCTCTGCACAAACACCACCAACAAAGGTCAGCTCCTGCAACAGGGAGATCTTTGCACTACCACCATGCACACATCCTTCTGCAGAGGCACCCAGCAGAAGGGCAAGACAGACAGCCAGAGGAGATAAGGGCTGAAACCACCCCCAGAAAAACATGCTGGCTCATCTACCCAAGCTCTGCTCATTCAGGAGAGCAGTGGGTTTGCACCTAAAGCGAGGAGTTCTGGTTTCCATCAGCCCCCCAGCAGAGACCTCAACCTCCCAAGAATCTTTCCAAAACACAAACTGCTGCAAACATCCACAGAACCACCGTGACAGAAGCTTGAAGAGATGCTGTAAAACTGATTAGTCGTCAAAATCATCAGACCATAAAAGAAGCTCCAGCTGTGCTCCCCTTATTTGCGTAGAGAAATGCAGGAGGCAGGGCTCTATTTAAAATTAATTTCTTTTTTTTGTTGTTGTTTACTAGAACCCAAGTTACTCTGGTTGACAATTAAGCCCATTATCCAATTCCTTCCTTTTTTTACCACCCCACTGCCTTTTTTCAGTTTATGCAGAAAAAGATAAATTCCAGTAAGTGCTACTTTAAAATGAGAAATGCAAGCTAACAAAGAGCTGGGGAAGGTTGAGCCATTCACTCTTCTGTTTTAAGATCCCAATCCAGTACAGAACTCAACGCCAACAATTCCTTTGAAGTCAACACCAATTTCAAGTCAATCTACTGCCTTTGGGCTTAGAGTTAAACTCTGGCCCAAACGTTCTGCCAGATCCTTGGTGCAAGCGTAAGAGGACAAGAGCAAAGAAATATTTAAATTTTGGCTTGTGTACTTCAGCAAAATTGCTGTCAGCACATGTTTTTAAGTCATACAAAACCCAGTGGGAAAAATTCAAGACAATAACTAACTTGGAGACTGGTGGGTCAGAAAACTGCAGAAGAAAAAAAATACTTTGATGCAAGTAACACTAATCATGAAGCATGGTGCTCCCAATATCCCACTACACACTGCCCTTTTGGCCTTTGTCTTAAGCTGACCCACAGACTGGGTCACACAGATGCTTTGGCAGAACCACCAAGAGCAACCCATTTCCTCCCCCTGACCAGACGACAGTTTGCTGTGGATGATCTGCACAACATGACTCTGACCTGGGTACCACAAGCAGTTCTTCGTGGCACAGATGCCAAGAGCAATACCTCAGTAAAGCCAAAACCAACACTGTGATCCAAGGTCTCAAGACCACATCCCAGGTCTACCTGTCTGCCTGTTCTGCCTGAAGTCATACCAGGCTGTTCACTCTGCCTCATCTAACCCAGCTCTGAGTACCTACAGCCTCACTGGGCCCTTGTTCCAGCATTAAGAGTTGGACTCAATTATTCTTAAGGGTCTGTTCCAACTCGGGATAGTCTATGATTCTTCTGTAATACTTGACTAAGGAAGCTTTCACTAATATCTAAGTTAGAACAACAGGCATTACTGGCAAGGAGGAGCCCTTCTTGTTCCTGTTGTAATAATTCATGTCTGAGTGCTAACTTGTCAGCTATCACCATAAGAGAAAAAACTGGGGCTGGAAGTTGTTCTACTGTCATTCCCATCCTCTGCGAAAGGATGGGGAGCTGATGTGGCACAACACTGCCTGTTCTTAGTGTCTTTCAATAGACAGTGAAATCAGTGCCAGAAAGGCAAGAAACTCAAAGCTTTTGGAGACATCTGTATTTACACTTCTGTCTTTTAGGGCAGAAATCTGACAACTGCATTTTGCAGATAAACAATCAGAATTCCAGGCTGGTGCCTCATGCAGGTTGCACCGCATAGCTTCAGAGCACATGGACTGGCACTGACATCATGGATGGAGCAGTCCTGGCTGCCTCCTCTTGGCCTTTACCGAATTATGACTCCAACTTGCTTCATGCTACTATCATCGGGCCTTCACAAGCACCAGCAGTCCCATAAATCTGCTTTTTACAGCATGGCAGAAGCCTAATTACACATGATTAAACTCTGTCAAAAATTAAAGCCCACACATTCCGCTGAAATTGAAATCAGCCCCGTTAGGTATCAAGAAGCAGCAATGCTGATGGCTGGAAGACTTGTTGTCAACGCAATGTTGCTGACTCTACGCAAGTGGGGGCACTCCTGACTCTTCCTTTGAGGCTCTCCTATAAACTCTGGTGTAAGCACACCCCGAAACGTGGCCGTGCACATCTCAGGCTGCAGGGACAGATGTAGCCCAGACACCTACAAGGCTCACACTCACTGCACCTGCTCTCCTGCAGCTCTCCTCCCCCAGCACCGTGCACTGTTGGACCTCACTGCACAGATTTGGAAACGTTAAGCCACAGCCCGTTTATTTTTGTGACAACAGCTTAAATGAATATTGAGCTCTTTAAGGACACATACAAGTTACACATCGTTTTGGTATCACAAAAATGGGCACTGGAAATTAAATATAACACATATAGATGGACATTACAGTAGGATGCAACATCCAAAGGAAATGCTGGTAAGGCATTTTGAGACTTTTATTACAAGGTAAGCATCATTTTAGATAGATGCAATACTAGGAGTGAAGAGAACAAAAGTTTGTGGCTTTTATTACCAATGAGGAGGAGATCCCTAGGAAGAGGTCTGCCACCCTGGGGACAGCAGTGATGCAGCGAAAACTATCACATGGAGAAACCAATGAGTGGTACCCTGAGAGAGCAAATGATTAATGGCACACCTCACCCTGCCCGCTCCCCATGAGCACGGTACAACCACAGTGCAAACCTCCAACCCCAATAACAGCCCTGGCAGCCCATAGAGACCCCAGCTCTGAGCTCATGGATGTACACCTACAGAATGGAAATGGTACCTTCTCCCCAACAAATTGCAAAGGGACTTTTTATTATTATTAATCATGTAGGAGATTTTTATTGTTATTAATCATGTAGGAGATTTTCGCAGCTTAACAGTTAAATGTTAGATGTTATGATTTCAATTACGTGCACTTGTGTAACAAGCAGATGAAAGCATAGTCAAACACCTGCAACATCCCTTTACGTACCTGATCTATGCCTCTTCCAAAACACTTGCATTAAGGAAGGCTCTTCTAGAATAATACAACAAAACACGTGCTTTCACCAATCCCCCACACTCCCTGATACACACAGGGGGCAAAGAAACCCCCAGCTCAGGGAACAAGGGGTGCACGCAGCTCCCTGCACCTCCATTGAGCGTGGAGAGCACAGCCACCAGTGCCTGTCTGCAGATGTGGATGACTAAACATCTTAGGGACACACACGCACACACAAAAAAAGGATGGATTTGTGCTTGGCATGTCCTAAAAGCTGCATTCTGGCAACTTTAGAGCTGTGCTCAGTGCTGCTGCAAAGAGGACAAGGTGCCAGCAGCATGGGGCAGCCACAGTCCCCATTGGGGGGAAAGCAGCCCCGGGCACTCACACTCACCTGGAGGTTTCATGTAATATTGCTCGATATCAGACATGTCCGTATGCAGCGCGCAATCGAGATAGTGGAGGATAACTTTTCTGCTGAAGTAGTACCTCATGCCCATCAGAAAGATGGGCAAGCAGCAGGTCAGCAGGAAGGACTTGGTCACAACAAAGCACATTACTATGGAGATAAGGAAGAGAAATAAACGACACCTGTCAGAAAAGAGAATTTAGTGTTGATTTCGGAATACAAACTCATTAAAAAAAATAAAATTAAAAAAAGAACACAGAGCAAAACAGACATTTGCAGCTCATACATGAGAATGGTGCAATTCTCCCTAAGCGGTGCTAAGTGACGGTGCAGCTCAGTGCTCCCGCAGTGCCTGGGGGGGGGGGAGGGGCTGCTGGGGGCACCCTCTGCACCCCGTTGTCAGTTGGGGGGGGCTGTGCTGCGGGCACGGCGCTCCGCAGCCATGTGTTTGGCACTGCGGCAATACTATTTCCAGCCTGGGAAGCACTGGCTGCTGGGGAGGGGCACAGCCTTGGGGCTGAGGGTCCACACAAGGCCTCCTCCTGGAGGAGAGAGACCCTTTAGTAGTCGTTTCCCAGCACCCCGCTACTGCCAAGGGTCCCTCTCCAATACAGAGCTTGAGGGGTCACCTGCAACCACCAATGGCTTGAGAACTCAGCCTTGGGGTGGAGGGTGCGTTTTCACAGAGGGGGACATGCATTACTACGTTATTATTCACACAGAAGAGGAGTTCACATCGTTACTTTCAGGAAGGGGGGCTTGGGCACAGATTATTATTTTAAAGGGGAGTTTCAAAAGGGGCCTGCGTCGTTATTTGTGGGAGGTGGGTGCATCTTGCAGGGGTTATTTTGGGATTAAAACCCCGGGAGGTGACACCCCCCACCTCCCCAACACACACACACTCGGAGATGGAGGGGCCCGGCCGTTTCCAAGCAACGGCTGCACGCGGTGCGCAGGGCTGCGCGCTGCGGAGCTGCGCGCTGCGATGCGCGCACCGCTCCCATCCCGCCCCCCCCATCTCAACCCCCAGCACGGAATAACCGCAAGGACGCGCAACCTCCGCGGGGAGCCCCTCACCGCCCATGAAACCCGCGCAGCGCAAACCGCCCCCCTCTCCCTCAGCCGCGATGCTCTGCGCTCTCCGCATCGCTGCGGCTCCGCGTGGCTGCGGCGCTCCCGGCTCCGCGCATCCCCGCGGGGACCCCGAGCGGAGCCGCTACTCACCCGCCATCAGCGCGTAGAGCAGCTGGGTGAGGGGCTGCTGCTTTAACCCCCTGAAGGCCGTGTTGGGGATCCGCTCCATGATACCTTCGTAGAAAATGCGGCGCACCACCTCCTGTTCGGAGGGGTGGAATTCACGGATGTAGACGTTGTCGCGTTTGGGTTCTTCTTTGGGGGTACCGAGGGGAGCAGGGGGGGAGGAGGGGGAGCCCGAGAGGGTGGGCCACATTTGGGAGGAAGAAACAATGATGGTGTCTTTTTTGGCTCCCGGGATTGAGTCATGATCTTCCGCCACGATCTTGGTCTCACAAACCATCTTGGGAGACAGACAATGCATGCAAACGGGGCGCGGGGAGGGAAGGAGGAGAAAAACGGGGAGAGGGGAAAGGGGAGGGGGAAAGAAAAAAAAAAAAAAAAAAGAAAAAAAAAGGGGGGGAGGGGGGGAGGAGCGGAGCGCGGAGCAGGGCCGGAGACCCGCGGGCAGCTGCGCGGGGCGCGGAGCAGCGCAACCGGGCGGGACGGGAGAAAGGAGCTGCGCTGCATTTTGGAGAGGCATTTATAGGGCGGGGGGGCCGCGGGTCCTCGGGGTCCGAGAACCCCCCGCATTGGCTGCGCGGGGTCGCCATGTGATCGGGGGGGGCGGGCCGCCTGCCCACCTCCCACCCCCATCACCCGCGCCGCCCCTTTGCAAATTACTACGGCGCGTCCCTGCGCGGGGGGCGGTTTCCTCCCGCGGGCCGCGCATCTCTCCTCTGCATCCGCGCACGGGGACGCCGCTTTCTTCCATTCTTTCTTTCTTTCCGCGTTCCCATTCTGGAACAGTCGCTGCGAATGCGCGGAGCCCTACGGGCAGACACGACCGCGGGTGGGTGCGAGAGGTGCGCGTCCCGGTGGGCTGCGGCGCAGCGTGCGCGCTCCGCGGTGACTCATGCGGCGCGGTTCCCATCCACGCATCGAGTGCTCCCCGAGCCCACGCGGCCCCACATCCGTCCCCACGCCGGCACCGTGCCCCGTCCCCCGGTCTGTAACTTTTCCTGGGGGAGATAGAAGGCGGGGGGGGATGCGCAGCGAGGAGGAAGAAGAAGAGGAGGAGGAAGATGGGCTCCTCCTCTTCGCAGGACCCGAAAAGCTTCGCTCTCTCCCGGTTGGAACCGGCCGGCATCTGCCCCAGGCATGCGCCGTGCGGGGACGGTGCGGGGCCGGGGAGGAGGTGCGGAGCGGCGGGCTCGGGCACCCACACTGGTGGCCGTCTCCCTCCCGCCGACTGCACCCCCGGCGGGTGTGAGCCCCACTGCGAGGTGCGCCCCTGGAAATCCCATCCTCCTGCGGGGTGCACCTGCGCGTCCTCCTTCCCGCTGCCCCCCTGCAGCCGCCTCTATGGATGCTGCATCCCCCTGCGGGCCTCAGTGCGTTGGGGCCGCTGGCACCCTGTGGGCTTGCATCCCGGATGAGGTCCCCAGGATGGTGCGCAGGCAGCTGGGGCTTTGCTCCAAGCTTGGTGCCGATGTGATGATTTTGTTGCTTCGCTTTATAATTTAAAAAAAAAAAAAACGTTCCAAATCACGGAGGGGGAAAGATGAGGCCAGGGCTTGGAAGCTTTCCCACCCACTGAGTGCCGCCGGCACCTGCAGCCTCACACTGTTCCCAGTGCCCTCGTGGGGAGTTGGGGGGGAGGCCACGAAGTGGTCCTTTCTCTAGACCATCTGAGCCAGTGTCCCACCTGCTCCAGAGCCGGGGTGACAAGAAGTGGCACTGATGGCAGCTCAGCACGTGGGTCGCAGTGCCAGGGGAGCAGTGTCCCCGAGCAAAGAACCTCCTGTGGGAGGGAGATGTCCCCGTATCCCCATGTCCCTGGCACATCTCGCCCTCAGCAGAATTTGCAACGTGGAGGCAGAGAGGCAGTGGATGGGGAAAACAAACAAACAAATGGGGCAGCGTTCGCTTTCGGATTGTGAAAGCTCCAAGCCAAAGATAGGAGATTGCTGTTTTAAAAATATAATTCAAGCAACGCTCAACTCCATATGCCTGGGTGAAGCAGGCATTTATTTTTGTTTGATCCTTTCTACGCTGCTTATTTATGAAATAACGAGAGTAATCAAAACAACTCATTCCTTAAAAAAAAATACTGCTGCAGTTATGTAACAGCCAGGAAAACTCCCAGTTCCAGTCCCGCTCTATGGGCCGGAGTGTTGGCAGATGGATTATTTTTAGAAAGACTCCAAACACTTGTTTACTATTTATGCTGCGTCTTGTAAGCAAAAATGAGCATCCTCCCTTTGCTCGAGGTGAAGATGTGCTGCTGCACTGGGGAAACTGAGGCAGGGAGGGGCTTTGTGCACCATCATGCAGAGACTTGGAGGAGCCACGGGCACAGCACCAGTTTTCCCAAGCCCTGTCTGAATGCCAAACTTCAGCTTCTGTCACTGCCAAGCCAGGTTTTCAGGTTTCTCCAGGGCTCTGGCAGAGCAGCAAGGAGGGATGGGGACGGAGCAGGCGGCTGTGACGGATGGAAGCAAATGTCAGTGAAAATCAAGTGCCTCGCTGCAATCGATTGCACAAGGCAGGCAGGTTCCCAGACAGCAGATTTGGGCCCCCGGAATAAAAAGAATATTGTTAGCAGAGCTTTCTGGCAAGGCAACTGCACTGCCCAGAGCTTTCAGTCTGTAAAAGCGCAGTTGTCATCCCAAGTTACTGAGGATTTTGCTACTCCAGGACCTGGGGGGAAGTCACCCGCATGCCATGACCCGCTGCTGAACCTCACAGAAAGAAGTAATGTAATGAAGACGGACGTTTTGGAGTCTGCATTTCATGCCAGTGCTCCCAACAGCTCTCACTGCAGTGTAAAGACGAGCACTCGGTGCATGGATGCTTGATCCATTTGCACGGAATGAATGGGGGCAAGTTGTGGCTCTGAGGGCTGAAAAATTTTGGTTTGAGCACCCCAAACCAAAGTGGATTTTGCTGTAAATCTTGAAGCAACAAACCCCAGGGGTGATTTCAAACAACCTGGATGCTCTATAAGAGGATCTGTTCCTAAGGGGTGGTGGGCACCAAGGCAGGACCTCACCAGCATCCTTGAACCTCCAGCTCATGATGTGCTGGGCAAGGAGATGTGCTGTGGGAAGGGACTGCGCGTAGCAACACCACAGTGTTGGCTCTGTCTTTCTCCTGTAATAGCCACAAGCAGCCACAATCCTTCCCTCTCTGGGGGCTATCAGTATACTCCAGCAATTAACGGGTTGATGGCAAAAGCTACCCCAGGTTCTATTGGTGTGGTAGTGCCAGACAGGCTCTTCCCAGCATGGTCTGGTGGCTCCAACCCTATCCTCTGCAATGTCTCCATCAGTGAGTGACTGAGGCAGGTGCTGAGATTTCAAGCTGTTTTTCTTATCTGCCTCCAGGTCCTCTTCCAACCCTCAGCTTCATCACTACAAGTGGCTTTGCCATGCTATGAGCACAGGCACCCGCTCAACTCAAGGAGCAGCCCAGCACCACGGCTTTAGCTGCAGCAGCCTCTGCTTTGTTGGGCTGCAGGAAGAAGTGAAAGCCTCTCTGTCGGCTGCAGGTGTGCATATGAATGTGAGACATTTGCCTAATAAATAGCTTCCTAAAGGGTGATTAATTAGAATCTCTGCTGCATGACTTGGCGAGAGGTTGAATAGGGTTTGAAGGAGACACCACTGAAATGGTGGGAACAAAGACCGCACGTGGCTGGAGGAGCACCAGGGCTTTAAGCCAGATGCATGTGGGAATGCCACAGGTGGTGCGAGCCAGGGAATGCTCATTTCTTTTTTTTTCCTCCCCTCTTGGAAAAGTACCTGTCTCTGCAATCAGCTTTTCCTCTTGCTATGATTAACCTGCAGCCACCCAAATTTTCGTTACTTGCTTGGGTCAGCAAGGTAACAGCGCTAGGAAATGTGCTGTATCATGAGCAGCTCTGTCAATGAGTATCTGTCTTTGCTAAGGAAGGAAAGAAGAACCTAAGGTTAATGATTGTACTTTCGGCCAACAGCTATTTTGCTGGCATTTTTAACAGCAGTGATTTTAACTGATGGCTGAAGCACAGCTGTAGTGGGCTGGCGTTTTCCTGCCTTTGCATGCTGCCTTGCTGCAAGAAGCAGAGGGAAATTTTCCGGTATTTCCAGTTTTGCTGTTCAGAGATGCCTCCAGGCTCTGTGCTCACGGCCTTGGTCCCCTTCCCTCTGCACATGGGGACAGCAATTGCTCCAGGTGCAGAAGCAAAACCAATGGCATGGAGTCACATCTGCCCATCCTCGTTGCTCTTGTGAGCATCAGGATCTTAAATCACGCTCCCCACGGCTGACTTAAGCTTGCTCCCCTTCTCCTCAGGGAGAATTGTAGAATCATTAAGGTTGGAAAACCACTACTATCATATAGTCCAGCCATCAGCTCATCCCCACCATGCCTACACTGTGAATTCTGGGAAAAGTCTCCTTTTGTTGTTGCTGTTTTTCTTTGATTGTTTGTTTTTTTAACTGCTATTTTTATTTTTAAGTGGGATTTAGTGGCAGGTACTTGGTTCCAGAAACTGTAACTTTGAGGAAAGCACCAAATATTGTGAATGCTGTAAAGCAATGGGCTGGCACTGGGGGCACAGAGGCATGAGATTTTTAAGGGAGCATTTTAAATGGAAAGAAGGTTCTCTAACTAGACGATCCTAGAGGTCTTTTCCAACCTTAATTCTGTGATTCCGTGGCTCAATGACTTTCCCCTCTGAGTGTCACAACACAGCAGCGGCTGCCATTGTGATAAACGTTTACAAATGCCCAAAGGGAGGTGGGAGGCAAATGGATGAGGCCAGGCTCTTGTTGGTGATGTGTAGCCACGGGACAAGGAGCAGTGGCCTGAAACTTGAACGTTGGAAGTTCCATACAAACATGTGGAAGAACGTCTTTACATTGAGGCTGACAGAGTGCTGGGACAAGCTGCCCAGAGAGGTTGTGGAGTCTTCTTCTATGGAGATATTCAAGACCCATCGGGATGCCTACCTGTGCGCCCTATTGTAGGAAACTGCTTTCGCAGGACGTTGGGCTCAATGATCTCTTGAGGTCCCTTCCAACCCTTTCAGTGATTCTGTGTCATCCTGCGCTGCCATATTTTCATTAAAATCGAAGTCATGATGGCTTGTGAAGATTAAATCCTCCAGTGGTGTTTTTGTAACGGTAAAGTTGCTATAGTCATGGCTCTGGACAAATAAAAATTAAAATTTAAATTAAAAAAAAACCAAAAAACCCACAGAGGCCTGGTAGTACCCTATGGCATCCCACCCCAATGATGGGCACAGGTGCTGGGAGATGCCACCCTGTAGTCCTGGTAGAAAGGCAATCACCACCGTTAGCCGGGCCTGGAAGAGGTGAGCTGGGAGAGCCGTCCCATCTCTGCGCAGAGCAGGAGAAAGCCAACGCGCACAGACCTCCAGCGGCGCTCCCCAGTACTGCACTGCACTGCCCTGCGCCGCCTGGGGCTCCTTGTCCCCGCTGCCGGTGCTCAGGTGCACAGCGAGGAGAGCTGCAGGACAGCAGAGGTTTGGTGGAAGCCTTCTTCTCCTCCCTGCTTCCCCCAGGAAAGCGAGCAGGCAGGAAAACTTGCTGCTTCCCGTCCTCCCTGTGACCCTGTGGGGTTTTCCTGCCCGACCTTCCCCTTTAGTGCCCTCCTCCAAACAGGCACCAGTGTGAGCTCATCACCTGTCTTCACGCCATCCGACTGAAAGCCTTCCGATGCCCGGCAGTCCTGCAGGTGCATCTGTTAGAAACATCCTTGTAAGACACGGTGAGTTGCTCCCAGAGCAGAGCTGTAAATGCACTGCTCCTGGGCAAAAATAGGCATACTACTACTGATACTAAAAACCTGCCAAAATAAGATGCAGCTTGGGTGTTTTTTTATTCCCGATGAATTCCTGCCTGTTATCCTATTTGCCTCGGTCTGAACCATCAGGGTTAATGCATGGTGAAAAATCATTTGTTGTGGTGACTCCCAGCCCCATGCTTGCTTCCTGGGATATCTGCACAGCCATCCTCCTCATGATGGTTGCATGTCATCTCTCCTGGCCACCAGCTTGTTCAGTTGGTGGCTCTGTGTCATGCCTGGGCCAGGATTTCATCCCTGTACATTGCTCTGCTATTAAACATACAGTATTCAGACCCTTGTTCCCCAAAACATCCA